CTGAAATTTAGCACACAAAATAGTTCGATGTGCTCTGATCACGAATATTGCATTAGTTTTGAAGCTGGCGGTATGGCGTCAATTCGGCGCTGTCACTCTCCCTGCCAAAGTCAGTGCAAATAGCATAAAGGATAAAGTCTTCGCCGTTGATCAATCCCTTTGTGGGATGCGGCACGCATTCTACTTCCATTCAGAATCGTAGTGGCTTATTGAATGCGATGTGGCCTATACAATGACTTGCGGTGGCCAGCCGATGTACAAGTCAGTGTTTTATCCTCCCAGACGAATCTGGTACCAATTCACCGTCCCCGGAGGGTAGAAGGCTTGGTTGGCCTGAGGCGGGGTCGACCTGGGATTCGCACTCGGGACCGTGCGCGTGGTAAGCGTGCCACTTGCTACTACACCACCTCCGCCTGATAGACATGCACCCTGGGGTTACTCGGAGCATCGGTCATGAACATCACATACATTTTTGGTCCTAGTGCCGTCGGGCGCCGATTTCCCGCCGCACTCTTTCTCCCAAAATCAACGAAAACTTGCATAATGGAGTTGTTTGATTTCCTGATCACGAACATGGCATTCATTTTTAGAGAGCAGCGCCATTTTGCGCTCTGGTAAGGTTGAGCCTAATTGTTCCGTTCGGGCCTCATCAGCCTTGGCAGGATGCAGATGATCATAGAGTCCTTCATCAACGCCGGCTTCAATGAATGTTATTTTCGTAATTAGGATGTCAAATAACCCCCATACATATATACAGTTTGCAACGATTTAAGTGACCGAGTGTACTTTGATGCCGGCACCTGCGGCACGAGCGCCCAAGCGATTTCGGACCAAGCGAATGTGATAATTATGTTCGGGAGGTCAAACTACCCTCGGGAAGTTTCCAGCGAATTTGGTGATATTTGGCGCCGGCTCCCTTCCGCGTTCATAGCATGCGATAGTGCCGAATTGACGAAACGAAGGAGTGCAGAATTGACGGAATGCGGAAAATCGATACATATCTGATCCTCTTCGTCAATTTTGCCCTGTAATTCTTCATTTCTGCATTTCGTCATTTTTGCAAATCAATGCATGCTTCCATGTGTTCTTCATTACATCCATTCGCCACTATCGTGAGCTGTGAACATGACCTTAACACTGCTTTATCCTTGTTATCCTTTCATTCATTTTATGAAACGCAGTAACTTTGTGGTGTCGGGTTGAATGTATGTAAGTATGTATGTCTGTCCGTCCGCAAAATGTTTCACGGGTTCGAATTACTGGAGGGAAAAACGACCGCTAGGCAAACCGGTAACTGATTGGTAAGGATGTATCAACCCAATGTTTTGATTGCGATAACAGCCTCCACTATATAAGACAACCATTCGGTACACTCCGAGCCATTGCACACGAAGCTGTCTTTTCTGCGCGTGGAAACAACCGCTAACACAATTGCAAGCCAATCTGAGTATACCGTAACGAGTGGGACGGTGAGGTGAGTGGAGAGTACGGAATGGGGTGAGGTGAGGAAGGTGGGAGTTAGTATCGAGTGACCCCCTTCTCCCATCCTCACTCCCTTGCGCGTACTCAGTCGGATCTGAGCCCATGCAGGGGAAGGAGGCATATGGATTGAATCGGGCAAACTGGGTACAGTAAGGGGATGCGTAGCGTACGCTTGGAGAGGAGCAGGCGGCAAAGACAGAAGGAAGAAGCGCCTTAGCAAAACTGCACCGGCTAATGCCATGTTACAGTCGCAACTAGGAAGCTGTTTTGGATTGTGAAATCTGGCTCCCTATCTAAGCAGCCACTATTGAATTAGAGTCTGTGCATTGCAGGAGCTGCTCGCTTGGACGGGGGGGGGCGGTGGAGCACGAAGCAAGGCGGTGTTAAAAAGTGCGGCGGTAGTGTTCCCTATGGTTGCAGCAACTGGCTCACGGCAGGCTGCACTACACGTTGCGCGAGTGGCGCCAGTTAAATAGGGTCAGTGGGATATGATGTGGTGAGGCAGATGAGCACGGCTATTTCGCGATTAGGAGCACATAGCGCCTGCGGCGGTAAGGCGTCTACCGGTTGCGATAAGATGAGAAGAAAATGAATCGACCGCAATCGGAACTGAACCGATTAATGTTGCATTATCAAATTGTGGTAGCGTTTTGATAGTCATAACAGCCTCCACAACATAACACAACCATATTTAGTGCACTCAGAACCATTGCACGGGCTATTCGCGTAGCAGCTGAGCGTGACCTGTAGGGTGGCTGAGCGGGGAATAGCTGAGGTTAGTTTGGGGATAGGTGAGGTGAAGGGGTACCATATTGGCGCGACCGACGCTCGCCTGAACAGGAGCACCAGCGAATGCACGAGACCGAAGCATCCATTGGCTTCATTAAGATGGGATGGGGAGGAGAGTAATCGATTATCCATGACCAGATTTTGAACTTTTCATTATGAAAGTGCCCTGCGATCATATGGCGCGTTTCTACATTCATTTGATTAGAAGACAGCGATTAGTCACGACTCTAAAGCAGTTGCATGAGCTTCCAAGAAGGAGGAGAGCTCGGCGTTAGCCGGGCGATCCGACTGGTAAAAGCAATAAAATGGGAAGCCATTTCGTCCTGATATAGATATCATTGAAACTTATTCGACCGCTATTCTACTAACCGTACTACCTCCGAATCAGATGTATTTGATTTGTGGAAAGCACTGCAGATGGTTCCCCCCCATTCATGCACTAAGTAAGAGCAAGCAGGCAAATTTTCAAAAAGTTGTTACTAGCTGCACTCAGTCTTTTCGATACTGTATTTTCGAATCTTTCAGGTGAGCAGATGACATCAAGTCAAGCAAGTATGATGTTAGAATCGATCCCAAGAGATCTCTTCGAAAGAAGTCTGTCAGACAATGGGGGAACATTTGACGAGTGAGTATAATGAGTATAACACATCGCGATATTATGGATGCCCTCCATACGGACTTTCCTGGCTATTTCCAGGTTTCAAGATATCGCTATAGATATCCTGAGAACGTTGTTGCCCTGCTGTAGTCACGATACTCTGGAAAATTACTATTTCCTCTTCCCTCTTCTCCTTCACCGACTTCAAAGTTCAGACGGAATGGATATATACTATTTTGGATGTGTTTACTGTTAAGGCTTTTGAGGGAGAGTTACCCCCTGATTCAGGTCAATAGTCATGACCAAGTAAGGTACATACACGATACTGCTGACGTGCTCTCGTCGTACTGCGTGAAGAATTCCAAAGACTTCCCTTTCACATGCATAATTGAGCGTCTTACTGACTGTATAATCGCCTTGCGAACGTCCTGCGACGCTCAAGGTATGTTTTTTTTCTCTGCCTCACCTCTGGTGTAAGGTTTTTTTTCCGTGAATATGAGCCAGTATTCGAGCGAGCTTGGAAAGTTTGACCGTATCAGGTTGAAATAGTGGGTTGCCCTGAGTAATGCAGTTGAAGTGGAGTAATGGACAAACACCGCGATTGCTTTTTGTAGGTAGTGGCTTTCAATAACGAACCTATAGTCACAAAGTCACTTTCCAGGAAAGGAAAAAGCAAAAAAATCAATAACACCCTAACCATAAGTGAGGATCTTATGGCAGCCTCACTGTGCGAGTTCCCGGACCTGCTCGTTTCACGACAGCAAGGCGCGATATCCCGCATCGTTTTTCGTGCCACCTACAGCTAATTACTATTTGGTATTGAAAAGAACAACGAAAAATAGGGTGTGGAAATGAAACTCACGGCAGTAAATAGCTTTCATGGGCGTTTTGTGCAAAATTGGAATCTGGTAAACACTTATGTATTATATCTAGTTGATTTGGTTGAAATTACCTTTAGAGATAGATTGCTATTGATTGTGCTCCCAGTGGAAAAGTAATGAAGAGGGGCAGAATTACATATAGCACAGTCAGCAAAAAAGGATACGCAGTTAGGATCAATGCCTGCCGCTTCACCAACAACAACAGCGCCCTTGCGTTAACTGTAAGGGGACATTTGTGGGTAAACGGCCCAACTGAGCAGGTCGCGGAACTAGAACTCCCGACGACTACAGCGCCCTGCTCACTCACAATTTATTGCCGAAAGTGAGAGAGTCTTTCAGCCTGAGGGCTGCACTACTTGCACAAGGAAACAGGAGGACCAGGACTGCTTGAGCGCGGCGTCTATCTCTAAAGGTGAGATGTTTTGCCAGTGGGTTTCAGATATTCCCATGGAGTGTTCTTTGCTTCGTAAGGCAGTCTGCTCAGTCCTCTCGAAACAATGTCTCCATTGCTTCTCAAGTACTTTAGAACTAGTGGTGAATCGAAGAGACTGAGCATTCTCAACTCCTTCCCCCTTGCATTTAATAGAAAGCTAAAGCCCCAGAGGCCCACTTCTTAAGTATACTACCATGTAATGTCTCTCAAAAAGGCACAAAATCGTTTGAAAGAGAGATTTCTGACCTGACGGACAAGCATCGCGACGGGTGCCCTACGGAAGTAAACTGGGAGCTTTAGCTGAATCGGCCTGTTCGCGGCGACGACGTGGCAAAGAATGGCGAGTTGTAAGTCATGGAATTGTTCCACATTCTCACTGAGCATCTGCTGTGCTTGAAGAGAGGCTCAAAAACTTTGTGCAAGGGTTCTGCAGGCACTTCCCAAGAGGGCGCTCCATGCGATGCTCTTTTACAAAGTTCGAATTGCTATCTCTAAATCGCTTGAATCAACTTCAAGCGTCATGGAAAGTATCGTTACTTGAGTACCGTTACAAGAAATGCGCGCTGAACGCCTCATATTGTCGAAAATCTAGGTTATGCACCCTATTTTTTTTCTTTCTTACGATGGTGTTTGCAGTGAAGATGACCGCGAAGGAATAAGTGTAACTGGGTATGAAATCGCAGGGAACTCCTTAGATGGTTCGAAAAGTACTGATTTCTCCGTCCATGCAGTCAGACTTGAAATAGTGTTAATAACTGAAGATATAATAAACTAGTAAAAACTTCTACGTAACTGCTTAAAGTTTGCTTAGAATTAGCGTGGGTTTATTGAAGTTTGCTTAGAATTAGTATGGGTTTATCCTAGCCGTGGCAGTGGGTTTATTGAAGTGCTTAGAATTAGTATGGGTTTATCCTAGCCGTGGCAGTAGATGCTTTGTGTACATTGCTGTTTTGCCCGGGGAGGGATGTGTTCTGCTTTTAATGAGCGTGACTTAGTACACGCTCGGTCTGTGTAACGGATCAAATCCGGCTTGCTTCAACCTTCGATTTTACTGGAGCTGGCTCGCTACGAGCAGTCCTACCTACAGTGATAAACATACTAACTTGAATATCGCTCAACCCCTGCAGGCCACTCCGGACGCCATATCACAATACCTTGCATGCTTAATGGCAGTCGACCGTGCCGCTCATTCTATGAAGATATTGATCAGAACTGATTACTCCATGCTTTAAATCCGTTAAATAATTCACAGTTTCGTCAGTTAGGGTTCCTGTTACTGGTCCGCTGGACGGTTCATCCACTATTTTTCCACAACATTCGCAAGACTTTTGTTCTTAGTTCTACAAGGGCTAGAATGATAGGGCAACAGAGGTTAACCCTTCTTTCCAGAGATAGCAAGCGCTGGTCATGCTTGGCCGGCAGATGTTCGAACACTTGTGGAGAGGGCCCTGAAGACGCGGACAGAAATGATTACAGATGATACAAGATTGCGGATATTGCGACTTGTAAGAGAAGTATTCGAGGTAAGCTATTCGTGTTATTTAGTACCTCTCAGTTTTGATATTCATTTTTCAGATTCTGGGAGAAGAGTGGTTCTCTCCCAACTTGTCATTGTTACTGCTGTTAGTACATATTGCAGTTGTGCAAGTGCGGATGTGCCTCGACAAGCCTGACAATATAAATTCGCAAAGTCTTGCTATCTGCTACCATATAATTGAGGTGAACCCGAATCACATCATTAAAATAGTTTAAAGTCAAAAGATCCTGAATGTTTCATAGGGTTGACTTTGAAGTTTCTAGATTATATTGAGCAGTTTGGATCTCTACTATTTTTTTTCGTGCTGCAACATTCTTTACACATTGTTAGTCTAAAAGGATAAAGTCTTCGCCGTTGATCAATCCCTTTGTGGGATGCGGCACGCATTCTACTTCCATTCAGAATCGTAGTGGCTTATTGAATGCGATGTGGCCTATACAATGACTTGCGGCCAGCCGATGTACAAGTCAGTGTTTTATCCTCCCAGACGAATCTGGTACCAATTTACCGTCCCCGGAGGGTAGAAGGCTTGGTTGGCCTGGGCGGGTGTCGACCTGGGATTCGAACCCAGGACCGCGCGAGTGGTAAGCGCGCCACTTGTCACTACACCACCTCCGCCTCATTGTGTTAGTATAGTCGCAGAAATCCGTATTCGATAGTTTCGTGGGATACTGCCTCTTTTTCATGTCATAGAGGCCTTGTAAGGAGTAGAGAAGTTGCTATTGTGCGGTTTCACACACCTTAGGTTACTTGGGTAGGACGGACAAAACCGTAATTTCTCGAGCCTTCGCGCGCGGCGTATTGTGGGGCGATGCGCGAAAAACCATGTGCATCAGTTTCTCTTGAGTAGCGAAACTCATATGATTTCAAGTAGAGGTAAGATTTCATAAATGCGGTATAGAATTCTCCTGTCCCTGTAACACTCATCTTCGAACGCCATGCAGGACAACTCGTCTGTCGGGCGCGGCGTCGCTCGCCACGCCCACCTGCTCGGCGGATTACGATTCTTGTATCGTACCACTTGCACGTATCCAGCACTATATTATCAGCACATTTTGCGCGCAGCCAAATTGGTATTTCGTAAAACGGAAGCCACCCCAGCATCCCATACTGATAAAGACGCGAGAAACTGCATTAGTGATGGTTAGTTGATGACAGAAGCACTAAAAAACGTGAGATAGTCGTGATATAAGAATACGGTTACCAGATGTTCTAACTGCAAAATCTCTTTAGAAGTTGCTACAGGAAACCTGAATCGTAGGCAATAGGCTTGAGCGCAAGCGGAGCTCGAACCCGCATATTAGGCTTATCGTTGAGCGCGCTATTTGAGATGTCATCAAAACCGCATCCAACGTTCTTACCCTGATGGCTCATTGTGCTTTAAACTTACAGTAAGTAACTTCAGCACTTGAAGTTTGAACGTGATGAGCCAGACAGGCAGTATTGGCGGTAGACCCAAGAGGCTTTAGGCTCATGTTTGAAGTCGTTTCATTAGGAGGGTTGTTGTTTACGACTTTTTGAATTTTTTCTTTGCTCCTGGCTCTCGTAGATATATTTTGTTTTTCTCTCTCCAGATGGCTATCCGTTGCGTAGAAGAATCATCTCTCTTGGACGATTCTATGGCTACTCGTTTGGCAACTGTTGTTCGCGAGGTGGCATTCTATTCGATTGAATACTGGGTAGAGGCGAAACAACAAGGTGAACATCTGGATGATAATGTGGGTGGTGACGTTGTTTTTTTTTAATTTTTTATCGTCTGTCCCTCCTAGTGAAGTCATGTTTTATTCAACTGTATCCCATGCGCACTGTTTTCAATTATTGGAATGCGTGGTTCAGGTGGAGCTCGTCTTGTACCGCTTTGTTTCGTGTCTTCTGGCCGTTGATGGTGCTGAGATGTTACCAGCTTCCCTCATGGAACAGTGCTCATCACTGCTTCTCGATGTCTTCCAGAGAGAAATAGCGAACGGCAATCATTCGGTTGCGCACTTGCTTTTACCTAATCTCCATGTTTTGCCCAAATTGTCTGAGAATGTGATACTTTCACTTGTCGAACTTTTGATTTCACGGTATGCTGATAGCCACTGGAAAGATACCGAGGATGAGGTTGCTTTGCCCTTGAAAGCCTGGGTGGAAGGCTAGATTTTTACAACGCAGAGACCTTGGCAAACGCACGATTAAAGCTTGAGCAGACTATACCAGATTGTGAGCTTTCTAAACTCCTTGCAAAGTTGTGATTGTTGGTTTATTTATTTTTTGACCAGATGACTTCTCTCCCTTTCTTGGACGTCAGAATTGTTCTAGCTTTCCTTAAGTCATTACTTTGTCGTAGTCTTGCGGCTCAGAAGGAGATTTGCTCATGAATGATAAACATTCTTTGGTTAGCCTTGTCCTGTAATTCACGGTAGCAGTGTTTCTCCTTTTATACCTTCTTGCTCCTTTTGCTACGGTCTTTTTTCCAAGATATACCATCTTCCTGCTTCCGCACTGTCATTTTCCTGCCTTCGTGTGGGTTTTGCTCTGTATTCACTTTTCAGAATGATCATTCTGTCTGAGACAAACGAGCCAACCGAAGGTGTGCGACTGTCACAGCCACAGGTTGTTGCGTATCTGGACGGAGAATGCGCTGGTGAAGGACGGCTCTGCGTTGCAGAAAGGTTAGCTAGTGTTTATCCGCTCTTCACCTGAAAAGGATCTGTATACAGTTGAGAAAATAACTATAAATCATTTTGCAGTCAAGTGACATGGATATGTCGCTCATCTGGTTTGGGATTCTCTTTGACCTATCCATCAATTATTCTTCATGCCATATCAACTGATCTCAGTACATTTCCACATGAGTGTATATACGTACTTGTTGATGCATCGAAAAGCGGTACAGTTCATCATTAGTTAATGTTGATTTTTTATTAGTACTTTGTAGCTAGATGTAAGGTGGAAGCGGTGCAGTGGCGAAGTGGCGCGCTCACCACTCGCGCGGTCCTGGGTTCAAATCCCGGGTCGACTCCCGCCCAGGCCAACCAAGCCTTCTACCCTCCGGGACGGTAAAGGGTACCAGTTCCGTCTGAGGAGGATAAGACAGTGGCTTGTACATCAGATGGCCTCCGCAAGTCATTGCATAAGTCTCTGGGATTTTGATGAAAGTCGAATGCGTTCCGCATTCCGAAATTTATTGATCAGCGGGAAAAACCTCATCCTTTCATTCGAGAGATGCGTGCTTTTGACCCAGAGTGGCGTCATTGCGATCGGAATAAGTATTTCCTAGGTAGTTCTCTTGACCTAGAGCAGCAGTGCCTAGGTTAAACGACTGATGCCTTTGTAAATGTCCTCAATTCCATTTGCAAATACTGCTCTTTCGCCAACTAAAGGTTTCAATCGTATTCTCGAGTACAATACACCCTTTCGTGCTGGCTGCTGCGCATTTCCCGCTTGCATGCTTTCTTTCTTTTATTATTTCGCTCGATTTGCGCATAAATTCCTCGTCAGCGAGGTTATGGGAACGCATAAGATTCCATATTCCTGTTGCTGTAGTTGCTACTTCAACAAAACAGAACAGCTCCGACGCTCATCTTCTGCTTGCGCTTGCGCGCGTCCATTATGCGCCTCGTGCGGCTTATCTCGTAGGAAGTAGGGAAGTGTGTACTTTCCACTTCTCCGTCGCTCTGAAAGAATGCCAACTTGCTGTTTTCAGAGCGGCGTGGAAGGGCAAATGTTTCATTTTTTACTGCTGATGAAGCTCACAATACCCAAGGTACCGTGGAAGTCTCTAACAGTTATATTTGAACCATTGAGGCGCAGTTCGGCGACGAGGCAGCATTTTGCACTTTCGCTGCTTCACTAGCTCCAGTTTAAAAGTCTCATTCTCCTTGACCTATGAACTCTTGTGGACCTAGAGCCAGCTCGCCGAGCCTCCATGTTAAATAGCATTTGTGTGGTATTTCATTGCTTTGCAAGAGTTGCAGGCGGTCTTTGCAACTTTGGCTTGTATCACTTCGCGGCTTCCCAAGATTTCATAGGTCTCTACCTGATGACACGACAAGCCGACGGGAAGTAGCAGGAATGCAAAATGCCCTCCCCACTTTCCCTCCTCTGTCGCCGAATTGCCCCCTATTTAAAACATTTCTGAGCTCTACATGGGAACTGTGAAAGTGTTTTTATTTTGAAATATAAGGTACTTTCAGACCTGAAACTTGCTGAGGAAGAGCTAAATCGCGACGATGATGCGTCCGAAGATGATGAGGATGAAGGGAAAAATGTTGTTATACGATTTGTTCCCTCTGATCTTAAGTGTTTGTGAGTGTAGCTACGATATCATTGAGTTGTGAGCCACAAATGTGGTATAGTCTGCGGACGACGGGACGTGTCAGCGCGGCTCCAAATCTTTTTTTTTCGACAAGCGACGATATCGTTCGTATCAGTTGTTTTCCACCATTTGTTGGCATTTACCGCTGGCTCGCCTCAGCATCCGCAGCGAACGAGGCTGTACCACTATAGTATTTTGTAGTATATGAGAGAGCTTTCTTCTTTATCTGCAATGAGGGTATTTTTTTTACAGTGCAACAAGTATATACCGAGATGTGCAATTGTCAAGAGTTGAACCCTGACGAAAATGACGACTTTTCAGGTAGGTTTTTGTAAAATTAAACAGTGATTTTACTGCGTTTACCTTTGCAGACGAAGACGCTGATGGAGAAATGATAGTAGGTGAAAGTGGTGATTCCATGATTAATGAAGATGGATGGTACACAGCTGAGAATGTGAGTCTTTCGCTGAACCTTTTCAAATATTCAAGTCTCTCTCCCTGAATATCCTGAAAAGCGAGGATCGGATATCATCCCTACTTTTTTGAAGTCTGGCCTCTTCTGCTGTGCTTCTCTTCTCAAAAGTAAATATATCCGCCGTTTAACTGCTCTTATTGTATATAATGTATGCGCAGTACGCATGCTTTACGAAGAAATGAGACCTTCCTCGGTGATCATGCCTTAATATGCTTTGCGAGTTTATCTTATGTTTAGTGATAGTTTAGTACAGCATAAAAATTTTAGAGTGAAAGTTTGGAAGCATGAGATATTTCAGATTGGAGATGGTGAGCATGTGGAACTCAGTGAAGAAGGACGAGCGAATTTAAATCGTATTTTGAATCGCTCTCGTAATGGCTGCGGAGATCACGGTTCGTTTGTCTGTCGTTATTTTCCTTGTTTCATGAAAATCCTAAATTTTTTCCTAGCTTTACTTGAATACTTACTAACTAAATTAGAGCGGACCATTGTCTCTCATGCGCTGGAAATACTTCATTTCACTGCAACTGTTTTTTTCACTTGTTCCTTTTTATTGAATAGTTTTAGAGGATACCGATGAAAATGGAATGGATGAGCAGTAATCTACATGACATACTGACGTTGCAACCTATCTTCATTTTCTCATTCGGGGTCAAGCGGTCCATCTTGACGTGTCAATTGATCTTCATTGTTTTCCTTCCGTTATGCCGGTGACTGAACCCAGTTTTGTTTTATATCACGTCGAAAGTTAAACACCCACTGTACGCATGGAGAAATTTGGCTGTAACTGCTGACAATGTAGGTTTGCCATTATCTTCACTACATTGCCTGGACTTTTTACGAATTGTTTGTTGTTGTTTCTTGATAAAGCTCGTATTCTTGGGTCGCTCACAAATTTATCACAGGAGTTATGATCAAAAGTCAGGATGCGGCTTTGAGTCCCATCCGGTCTGACCTTAGGTCATGAGTTAGCACTTTTGTGAAAACTTCTCGATCGCGCACTGCGTCGTCAAAAAGAGTTCTTTTGTGATAGCTTCTCGATCGCGCACTGCGTCGTCAAATAGAGTTATCAAACTGATACAACAATAAAGTTGTCCTCTAAAAATAACCTTAATCAAATGTATGTCGTATCAGACTTCTCGTCTTCGCTCCAAGTAAAGCAACGCATGATGAAGCAAACGCAGCAATGCGGGCAGAAGTTACTAGAAAACTGAAGTATTCTTCTTGGCTCTGCGTCATAGTATGTGGAATCAGGCTTCTGCAGAGGCGAGAAGTCTGCATAAAGTAACCGGTGTATAGGGGTACATAGCAGGACCTTGTGCAAGACCCTGGTTCAGTTCCGGGGGGGGGGAAGGGGAGTGTTCAGCTCTTTCACAATAACTCATTCACATCGACGCAGATCTACGTGCAGCAGCAATCGCGTTCTTCCAAGATAAGTCTTCGGTACACTAATGGTGAGTATCCGCTTGTCACATGCGAGACTCTGGCTAGATTCCCTATGGTTTGTGGATGCGAAAATGAAAGTTCAGTGGCCGAGTCGTAAAGTAGCTCACTCGATAGAGTGAGCTATAGTAGGGAAAACTGGTGCTGGGTTTCTGTTCTCGATTGAGCTGATACGGCGTTCTATAGCATAGTGGAGACGGGGTGGTCTCTAGTATTTGGAGACGGAGTGATCTCGGTGGTGGTTGTGGTAGAATGGTAACTTAATCTAGGCGTGGCTCTCAATACAGGAGAATATCTAACCGTTTACCTACGGGTCATAATCACATGTCTCAGTATGATTCGTTAAAATTGCTGTGCCTTTCGAGGTTTTCAGGTGGAATATTTTTTAGCGGCCTAACGTTTCGACGTGGTCGTCTTCTTCAGAGGCCTAAACGCGTTTCGAGTTAAGGAGATGAACACTACCCCGCCAAGCGCCCAACCAACCCTAGCAGTTCCGATGATGTGTTCGGAACTCAACAAGAAAATTCTACAGAATTCGAAAAGCGCACTCACCAGGGTTCCACCGCAAATCCGCCGTCACATGCGGATGTTAGTCAGTAGCGAATGAGACCTACTGTAGGGTCTCTTATACGTATAATGTTAAGGAGACGCACGTAACACCGCTACTTATAATTCGCAGTATGGCATGAACGGCAAAAAGTCATTAGCTATTGACGGACACTCATCTCTGCTGTTCATCCTAGGATTCCTGCTGGAAATCCAAAACGCCTCCAACGCCTTCCTGGCAGAAATTTCCGTCTCCTGCGCCAATATTATACACTTGATCTCGAAGTTGTCGCCATTATGCTCCTCACTTTTATGTCTACCCAGCGCTGTCGTGAGCCGACCCCGCCTCATACCAGTTAGGTGCTCGTTTATTCGTACACCTAGCGGTCTTCCCGTCTCTCCGATATATGTGTATCCACACGACTGGCATTCTATTTGGTAGATCACACCTAATTTTGCGCAATCACCAAATCTGCCATGTGGACAGATGACACAATCTCGCGATATGCACTGTTTATCGTAGAGCCTGTTTCGAACCAGTTGCTGCTTGATGTTGCTGTTAGGGATGTTCACTAATTGAACAACATCTTGCAACTGTGCTCTAACAATACTCCGCTGTATTGCGGTGCTTATCGCATCGGAGATGAAAGGAAGACATAGCGGTAGTCTGTTCGGGCGGGGATCTTCTCGCACATTACTGCGCTGCCTACCATGACCTTGTGGTACTGTATAGCCGTTCATAGCAGCTATCTCACATGCTAAGCGTCGTGATTCTTGACGCTCAGCTTCGCCTGTGCACATACTCGTTGCTGTTCTCAGCATGTTGTTGACAACTGCACGTTTGACGACCTGTGGATGAGCTGACGTAGCGTGGAGCAAGATATTCTTTGAACTGGCTTTACGGTACCACTTCACGCTAACGAATGCCACCGGATACTTTTACTTGCGTGTCGAGGTAAGGGAGCCAACCGTCGTGTGGTGTTTCTCGTGTGAGTCTAATGTACTGCGACTGTTCGATTATCCGAAAGCATTCGTTCAGCTGTGCTGACGTTATGATGAAACAGTCATCGAATATATCTGCAGTACATTAGTGGACGACGTTCTAGTACTGGTTCCTCGATCCTGCCCATGAAGCAGACAGCAAGAACCGGTGCTAGTCATTGACGCATGGCCAGGCCCCTCACTTGTGAAACGATTGTGTGACATCTAATCCTTCTTATGTGGCGAGAGAGCAAATTTCCTCTAGCTGTCGGTACTCCATCGCTCTCTCTCTCTCACTCGGAACTACTAGACAATAATCGCTGGGTTCATTTTCAGAATTACTGGTGACTCACCAGTGGGAACGTAGTGGTACTACAGTGAATTACTAGTGATCTCTGGGAGATCAAAGAAAGGGTTAACAGTATTCCAGGTCAATCTCCTAGGTCACAAAAGGGCATTCTCACACTTTTTATTTCCTTGTTTTCCCGTACATAAGTCGGGATCTTTTGCATGAACGAAAACATGCCACCCGAATCTTTCGTGCAGAAAACTGAAGTGTTTCCATCGACCCGAGTTCATCGTGAACTTGTAAAACATTTTTTAGCCCATTCTGGACTGCTCAGAAGCTCGCAGCGGAAAAAAAAACTAGTTTTTTTGAGTTCCCCCTCTTTTGTGCTCAAGCAATTATCCACGTGGAGCGTTTCGAATAACCGTGATGATTTCCCTCCCTTCATTATGGTCAAGTATTACACTGTCCTCGGTGTAGAAGTCTGCTAATATCCAACGGTATCTTCGTATTCTATTGAATAGCTTGGTCTTCACCAGTTTCCTCGATATCACCGTGCTAACGTTCAAGGCAGGCCGACCGTTCTCCAAGTTGGTGAGTCATTCTGACCGTAGCGTGCTCTCTCCCGTTTGGTGCCTGGCCTCGAGAGCGAGACGCAGAGTAAAAAAAACGGATTAGTTGTCCTAAGACGTTGTGAAAAGTATGCTCCCGCTCATCTGACGATGTTGCAGCCTAGGCACTCCTTCACCAACGTTATTATTTGCACCTTACTCAGTCCAAATGTATGTATTGTACTAGCATGCCTATCCAGCATCTCGGACAATGCTTGCAAGGCCTGCTCGTTTTGGACATTAGTGTAAAGCGAAACAACGTCGAAGGATTCAATTACGGTACTTCGTCCAAAGTCAGAGGACCGTAATATTTCGAGGAATTGCCTAGTGCTGGACAGGTGAGACGGAACCATGGTCAACAATTGACTCACAATGCTGTTGAGAAACCACGAAATTCTGTCGGTTGGTCCCCCTACACAACTAATGATGGGACGTATTTTATATGTATCCGGTGATATCGACAGCGTATCTTGAGGGGTAGTGGGTATTCACAAGGCTGTAAAAAACTGGACAGTTTGGATGATCTACTTTTAATCTGCTTATGAACCTCTCATCAAGGTATGCAGATTTTGAAATTTTGCAACGCTCAGCCATACACGATTGAGTTGGCCAAAAAGACCATGTCTGCTACGCGGCGATTAATCGAGGAATCGCTAAGATGAAGTTCGGTTATGGCCCGATCAAGAGATTGGGACATAACGACGAACTCTCCACCCTTGTCACTAACAGATATGCGCAAAGTACCATTTGATCGTAGCTCGCGTAATTCTTTCAACCCTTGCCGTTGCTCGTACGTTAAGTTGGTGTTTCTGAACTGCCTGTGTTGGTCCAGAGCAGTTTTCTCTGTAGAAAGTACGCGGGAATGGTACACAATTGGGCAATCTTGAGTTAGCATTAAGAGTGGTGTGTTCCTCGCTCTCACGCCTGATCTTAGTGCGTAGCAGATCTCTTAGTCGACGAAGACCTCCGACAACTTTACGAAAGGTAAGTGCATTAATATTCTGAACAGGTTCGGACGACGGACCCATATCTTAGCAATTCCTCGATTCATCGCCGCTAGCAGAGAGGGAGAAGACCTCCGACATTTTTACGAAACTCAAGTGAATTAGTATTCTGAGCAGGTGCGAACGACGGACCCGTATGTTAGCGATTCCTTGATTTATCGTAGCAGAGAGGGATTTTTGGTGGAATGCAGATAACTCAATCGTGTATGGTTGAGCGTTGCGAAATCTGCAGACCTTGATGACAGGTTCATAAGCAGATTGGAGATTGGACCAGGATAGCTGGAGTTCCTTGCGGTTATATCCGGTAAAGCGAATGATTAGAGGACTTGGGGTCGAAACGACCTCAACCTATTCTCAAACTTTCAATGGGTATGTTGTCTCGGTTTCTTTGTTGAACTGTTGACACGAACGCGAGCTCCAAGTGGGCCATTTTTGGTAAGCAGAACTGGCGCTGTGGGATGAACCAAACGTTGGGTTAAGGTGCCTAACTTTTCGCTCATGAGACCCCATAAAAGGCGTTGGTTGATATAGATAGCAGGACGGTGACCGCTAAGGAGTGTGTAACAACTCGCCTGCCGAATCAACTAGCCCTGAAAATGGATGGCGCTTGAGCGAGAGACCTATACCCAGCCGTTGCTGGCTTGTGCGTTGTCTAGCGCCTGGCCGCAACGAGTAGGAGGGTCGTGGCGGTTGCGTCGAAGGCTTTGGGCGTAGGCCCAGCTGGAGCTTCCGTCAGTGCAGATCTCGGTGGTAGTAGCAAATATTTAAGTTCGATCCTTGAAGACTGAAGTGGAGAAGGGTTCCACGTGAACAGTAGTTGAATGTGGGTCAGTCGATCCTAAGATACTGGCTTATGCCTTGTATCATCGAGAGGGAAAAGTCTCTTTTCTCTCGGATATCAAAAGGGAATAGGGTTAATATTCCCTAACGCAGACACAGAGATTGTGGCTCGTTGAGTCACTTGCGCGGTAACGCATTCGAACTTGGTTACGTCGCTCAGAGACCGAGCTAGAGTTCTCTTCTCTAGTTAAGGAACGGACTCCCTGGAATCGGTTCAGCGGTAGATAGGGACGTGGTTAACGTGAAGCATCGTTCACTTGAGGCACTCAGTCACTCCCACCTGAGATGCGGTAGGAGTGACTCCGTGCTTCAAGTAAACGTATCTATGATTGTGTTTTGGAGAGATATTTTCGTCTTCATACAACTGTGGTGGTGTCTCTGTCAAATGCAGAAGATGACAGTTGTTAAAAACTGAAATATCCACCAAGCAGAACCAGTATATGCCAGAAATTTCAGGCCTACTCCCTTCTCACCAGTGTGCTTGTGCTCGGAGCCATCTGGCGCGTCCTCAGGTTGTGGATCGAGGAACGGCCGTCCGTGTGGCGGTTAGCTGCGAATATATCGAATAAGCAGCCGCGAACAATCGAGCAAAAACAGCAGCTATAGGACAAGAGGGCTGCCAACCCGAATGTACTGCTGCAAAAATAATCGGCAAAAACTTTGAGAAAAAGAAGAAGATTTGGACCCGAGATGGGAGTATGGAGATGCCCCGACTCCATACAACAACCCCACACCTCGGTGTAAGGAAGGGGCAGGATAAGGACCACGGACATGTCATCAAATTGCACATCGCCTCCCACAATGTCAGGACCCTATCGACGGTGTACATGCAGCACTTGGAAAAGGGAGAGCAAAAGACGTTCCGGTCAAGTGGGCGAGTGGCGAAGAAATTTGGGAAAAGGTGCCGACAACGTGTCAAGAACTGGTGGAGTCGGTTTCATCGTAAAACCGAAGATGGTTCCGCACATCATTTCCTGCGATTTTTTGTCCCCACGTGTTGCTGTTTTGAAAATCATGATACAGCGGATGGGGAAACGAACGCTCAAAATCGTGCAGGTGTATGCACCCACAGCGGCAGCGGAAGATGAAGAAGCTGAACGTTGCTACGAGGAAATAGAAGCGGCGTTGAAGATAAAATCGACATACACGATTGTCCAAGGAGACTTCAATGCAGTTGTTGGCGCACGATTGGATATGGAAGACCTTGTCGGCAAATACGGCACAGGCGTACGGAACGACAGAGGAAGACGCCTGGTCGAATTTGCGGAGCAACACCATTTCTCAATCATGAACACTTTTTTCGAGAAGAAGCCAAAACGTCTGTGGACGTGGAGAAGCCCGGATACGAAGATTCTGAGGCAGATCGACTATGTAATGACAGATACGCCAAGAATGTTTGCTGACGTTTCGGTTATAGGTGAAAGTGTGGTTGCAACTGGCTCCGATCATCGTCTAGTACGTTCGACGATACTGATAGATCGAAGAAGAGAGAAACGAGTTCTGTACTCACAAAGGGCACTCATACACTACGCTACACTTTCAATGCCGATGCATTTACTGGCATGGTAGCATTGTCAGACCTGCGGATGGACACTGAGAAAAGCATCGACGCTGACTACGACGAACTAGTGGAGAAAATAACTCTTGCTGTGAAAGCTTCCAGCACTGCAGCAGAACCTGGCAGAAGACAACGTGTGTCAGCGGAAGCAGTCCAGATGATGCAGAAGAGAGCACGTATGAAGGCCGAAGGAAGAGTCCAGAGCGAGAATATAAGACTCTCAGTAAAACGATAAGGGAGAGGATAAAAGAAGACTATGAGGGATATAGGCAAAAGAAGCTTCGTGAAGCGGCAGAAAAGAGGGCAAGCCTGAAAACAGTGGAAAGAGATGTCCGTCTCAGGCAACAAATTCCCTCTGCTCTCAAGGATAACTCTAGGTGTTCGCACGACAAATCGAAAGCGGATGAATGAAATCTGCACGAAGTTTTTTAACGATTTGTACTCCTCAAAGGTGTTTGTCACAAAAGTTCGCTCAACTGCTGTCAGAGAAGCGGTCCCAAATGTCATGTGGGAAGAAGTCGAGCATGCAGTGAAGGGGAGGGCTGGAAAAAGTCCAGGAAGTGACAATATTCGACCTGAACACCTGAAGGCAGGCGGAATAACCCTATTCAAAGCGCTGGCAGAACGTTTCACCAGATATTTCATCGAAAGAAAAGTTCCAGCGGCGTGGAAGAGATCGAAGACGATACTGCTGATGAAAAAAGGAGATCCTGAGAGTCTGAACAACTACAGGCCCATCACACTTTTGTCTCAAATATGTAAGGCCTTCACAAGAATAATCCTTGAACCGTATCGTCAAGGACTTAGACATGGTCACGAGTAGAGAACAGGCCGGCTTCCGGAGCGGTTATTCCACGCTCGACCATTTACATGTTGTACGTCAGCTTACGGAAAAATGTGGAGAGTTCCAAATTCCCCTCTGCTTGGGATTTGTCGATTACAGGAAAGCCTTTGATTCGGTTGAAGCAAACGCAGTATTCAATGCGTTGAGCAGATTTGGCATCAACATGAATTACGTCGACCTCCTGGAAGAGCTGAATGACGGCTGCAGTACAGAAATTAAGCTCTTCAACGACCCTGTCATATAAAGATCTGCAAGGGCGTACGTCAAGGAGATACAATTTCGCCGAAGCTCTTTGCAATAACGCTGGAGGCCCTCTTCGGTAGTCTGAATTGGAGCGGCGGCATTGGACGGCGAAAATCTCACGCATTTGCTTTTTGCGGACGATTGCGTCATTTTCGCACAAGACGCAACAGAGCTTCAGGACAAGCTGGTTCAACTACAGAATACATCAAAGGAGATTGGACTCGAGATGAACCTCTCCAAAACGAAATGGATGAGAAACCAGTTTAGCCCTATGACGGAGATTACAGTCGAAGGCGAAATAATAGAATAAGTCCAAAATTACGTCTACTTACAAGGGAAGGCATGGTAGTCCGAAAGTGGCCATTTGAAATGAAGTGTATCCGCGCTGAAAGTGCCGTTCTGCGACGGAAATTGACGAAACGTCTTCCATACTCTACGTGGCGCGCCTCCCAAGAAAGAAGTTACGGAGCTTTTTAGGGGAGACACTACGAATTGGCGGCGTAAGGCTGACGAGATCGTGAGCATGGCTGAGTGGATACGTCGTAGGGCTCACGGATGCGGTGCGTGGTCGAGGGTTTGAATCCTTGATGCGTGTGCTCTTTTGCATTTTTTCGAAAGTGGTCCCTGTGCACTTCAAAGCTATTTTGCATAACACTTGTCCCTGATAATGTCGTGACGTAATGATTCTGAACTGATGGAGCCATTGCGAACGATTTCATGGAGATCACCTCCGGCTGAAAAGATTGTCATACGAGTCGAAAACTTCGAGCAGATATGGAAACACTTTGAGATAGACATAATTCAACATTATGAGTGGTGAATGAAGCTCTTGCCCATTGCGATCTCCAGCCATGATGCATTTGTGCACATCACGCCACCTTCATATGAAGCATTTTTCGCCCACTTATACCGCATCTTCTGCACAACGTTGTGCGTCCGGATTCGTTTTCCAATTATGTCGTTTGGAGAATAAAGTCATTTAAAGGCAAAATCTTCCTTTGGAGTGCACTTTTGTTAACTGCTTTTCAAATAGAAGAAAGAAGAAGACAACAGAAGTGATCTCTGTGAAATCGTTCGCAATGTCTCCATCAGCTCAGAATCATTACATCACATTATCATGGACAAGTGTTACGCAAAATAGCTTCGAAGTGCACAGAGAACACTTTCGAAAAAATGCAAAAGAGCACAAGCATCAATGAACCAAACCCTCGACCACGCATCCGTGAGCCCTACGACGTATCCACTCGGCCATGCTGCCACGATCTCATCAGCCTTACGCCGCCAATTTGTAGTGATTCTCCCCCAAAAAAGCTCCGTAACTTCTTTCTGGGAGGTCCGCAGCAGATATGGAACACGGTTTCGTAATTCCCGTCCGAAGACCTTTCAGCCGGTATACATTTCATTTCAAATGGCCACTTCGACCTACCATCCTTCCCTTGTTAGGGTACCAGCTCAGCTTTACGAAGGGCGCTGGAGGAGAATTCAGCAGGCGCAGGAGAGTAGCATGGACTAGCTTCAACAAAATCTCAACGATAGTCTTGCGATGGAATTAAAAGCTTCTCTATCTTCACCTCCACCGTTGTACCCGCGCTACTGTACGGCGCTGAGTGCTGGTCAACCAAGAAAGCAGACGAAGAGAAATTCGCTGTCACGCAACGGTCAATGGAACGCAGAATTTGCAAGAATATCATTGCGTGATCATATCTCGAACACGGAACTTCGAAGGCGAAGTGGCTTTGTTGATATTGTCCAGGAATTGTACAAAAGGAAACGAGAATGGGCCGGCCATGTGGCGCGTCTGAGAGATAACAGATGGACTTCCCGGCTAACTGATTGGATCCCTCTGGATCACAAACGACCGCTGGGAAGGCCTAAAATGAGATGGGCCGATCCGATGGTGAAAATGTTCGGCCAACAGTGGAGAAGACGTGCACAAGACCGGAACGAATGGCTCAAAGTCGACTTGCGTGGATGGCGGAATACACGAAGACAAGTCGGATACAAGTGATACAGGTGATACTCCGTCTCAGGGATAAGGAGCATCCATAACCACCATTCTGATCATTCACATGCGATAGCTGGGTTCCATTCGATTCCGGCGAGAAATTTACCTCTCTCACAATAACTCTTTCACGCACTTCGTGCAGCACCACCAAGTTCTTCACATACAGAGTCCCGGCAAAATAGTAGTGTGTATCCGCGTCTGTCACATGCGAGACCCGGGTTCAGTTCCCGGGAAGGAATCTTGCTTTCTCACAATAAACCATTCACATTAACATATTCGTATTAACCCCTACTTCGTCCCCTCAACCCGGAGGCGGTCCCTCAATATTATACTGGAGATGAGCGCCTTTTTTAAAGGCACATTCCGCGATAAAATAAGGCTATGACCTCTCAAATGTGTCGGACGATCCGGAAGGCGATTTTTGAGGCTGCGCTACTTTCAAAATGTGAAAAACGGCAAGAACTCCGCTAGAAGCTGACTAATTAGGCCCATGGACACCCCTTAGGCCCATGCCGACCCTCACCGGCTGCTAGCTACTAGCTAGTAGCCACTATGTTATCTTTCTCTATAACATTTCGGACTGCTTTTTCTGCTGCTTTTCTCCGCTAATCAGATACTTAGCACTTTTTTGTGCCTATTTGAGTTCCGTTTCCCGCAATTTGCGGTCGCGAACTGTGCCTTTAAGAGTGAATGTTTTGATTTCCATCGTTTCTGGCCAGCCTAATAGTAGGGTGTTTTCCGACCTGCAATTAAACTGCACTGGATGGAAATGCGGTGAACGCAGATCGATTCCACCGAAACAAGAATCTTTCACATTACAAAAGGCTGCCATAAAATTTTATTCAAAACTTTCTAATGTGCAGGTCGTACGACAAAGTTCCTGAGAGGTTTCCAGTGTTGGTCATCACCATTTTTGCACAATACAGGTGGTCCCTGTCTGAAGCATGCTGAAAACAGTACAGAATAAGAAGCGCACAAATTCTCTTAACACTTTGAGCACATTTCACAATAGCAACTAGCTTTGATATATGTCCAGGCCTTTGTAAAGAAAAAGACCACACATGTATCCCGTTCGCGGCCATGACGGCATACAATCATTTTCAAGCATGAGCCTCTATTTGCTGGTACTCCCGTCACTCAGTAAAGACAACCCAAACTAAGCTCCATTCCTTGATTCAATGCACTGATGCGTTAATTAAAAAGAACATGCGGACATAAGCTGAAGGAACATCGAGCGCTCCTAAGAGCAAATAGTCGACGAATGGTGAGCCACTTAGAAAGACGAGTCAGCTTCACTGTGTAAGAGTTGCGCGGAGGGACTTCAACACTGGCCAGTGATCGGGGACTCCTATTAATCAGAGGCTCCTGTCTTCTCTTACATGCAATTCTGAGAGGGGTGAGTCACACTCATTGCGAGGATGCGAACACTTTCACATGGAACAGAGTCCACCTGTAAAGTAAATGTCATATGTGTCTTTAATTATATTTACCCACAGCTTTTTCCTTAATGTGGCAAAGTTGCCGTTTCCCATAACATTCAGCCTTGGTCCGAAATATGTATGTCACCCGTAAAGGAAAATGTTTGTGCCTCGCCTCGAGAGTAAAATTCTTGTCCACATGAAAAAACTAACAAGAACGAAACGAACCATTATGTGTGGGATAACGCCGAACAACTGGGTGAGCCTCTTCATTTGCTCCGAAGGGCTGAGATCAGGGCGAGTTGTCACCACATACTCGGACAGAAGTGCTGAGTATTTTCTTTGGGCTCTGAGCACGATGTTAGAGCCAGCATCGGTCAGATTTACCACTGAAATCATTTATAACTCACATGGTTGATGCAAGATGTGGATAGCAGTTACTGCACGTATGAACTAATTAGCAAAAGCAGACCCGTTTTGAGTGGGTTTCATGAGCACGATTTGCTCATCGTGCATAGCCAAGATGAGAAAAGCGTGGAACAACAACCTGAAGTCTAGAAAACACACCACAGCTAGAAAAAAAACTCATATATGCGACACATCTGGTAATTATTTGGGTTTAACAGTTAAGACAGTAAATGGCAAGGTGTTAATGCCCGCTCGTCCACGTCCTGTCACTGGCTACAGTTCGCCTCTGAGGGCTGAGCTAAACATGGACGCTCGAGTGCAGGTGACAGCCCTTCGTGACTGGCCGATCTTCGAAAACGTCATGTCACCCACAAATGTTTGAAAAAGAAAACATAGTAAATGGCAAGGTGAGCACCAATTTATCATTGATACAAATTACCCTCTTTGTAATGAAGCCTCTGATATATACCATTTTCACTTTAAATCGGACACTTCTCAAACCAAATCGGACGCTTTTCAAACCAAATCCTCAGCCGGTAGAACAAGCAGGTTTCCGTCGAAATTTCAGCACGCTGGACCATATCGCAACCTGTCGTCGTCTAATAGAAGCAGCTCGAGAACACCACATGCCTCTTGTACTCACATTTGTTGACTACAAAGGCGTTCGATTCGGTAGAGCCAATGAAGGTTTGGGAATCGCTAGAAGAGCAAGGAATTGAGAAGATCTACATAGACGTGCTGCAGGAATGTTACACCGATTGTACTACCACGTTCCGCCCTTTTTTCAACGATGTGGTAGTTTCAATTGAGAAAGGTGTGCGACAAGGTGATCCGATCTCACCCAACCTGTTCTCCGCGTGTTTGGAATCCGTTATACGCCGTTGCGATTGGAGCAGATTTGGATTGAACATTGACGGTACTTCTGAATCACCTTCGCTTCGCCGATGACATTGTGCTTATTACTAGCTCGCCAGAGGAAGCGTCCGAGATGTTGGATCGTTTGGACCAAGAAGGGAGTCAGTACGGTATTGACGATGAACACATCAAAAACCGATCACCGGAGGTGCGACCGTAACCTTGAAAGGGAGCCCAATCGAAGACGTCGAAGATTACGTGTACCTCGGGAGTGAGCTAAACATGAGGAATGATACCGGAGAGCTGACGAGACGCTGCAAAGCTGGATGGGCAGCATTCAACTCAATAAAGAGCGTCGTGGAAGATACCAGGGATCTCAAGCTCCGTGCGGACCTCTTTAATACAACAGTGTTGCCTGCCCTAAGCTACGCAGGAGAAACTTGGGCCCTCACAAAAGCGCACGAAAAACGGTTAAAGTCTGCCCAAACATCAATTGAGCGCCGCCTAGTAGGCCTGACGTTAAGCCGTCAACGAGAATTGAAACTTCACAACTCGGACGTCAGGGCCATGTCGAAGATCAAGGACATTGTACTCCACGTTGACGAAGCGAAACATCGATTTGCTGGCCACGTGATGAGGAGAAATGACGGGAGATGGAGCTCTTA